AGAGAAGAAATAAAGGCAAAACCAAATCTTTCATTTTGAAAATTCTTACTTGAACTGAAGGATAACTGCTTAACAACAGGAATCATGTACTGGATGATTATAACCCGTGAATAAGTGAAATGAGAGACAGCAGCTTCATAGGGGTTGGGAGAGATGAATTGGGACTACTCTGTTATAAGGTATCTGCACTACACATGAAGTGTTATTTGAAGACAGATGTAGATAAAAATGTGTATTATAAATTTAGGGAACCATTAACATTTATTAAAAGGAAGTATAATTTAAAGTATCTTGAAGTAGGCTGGGTGCAGTGGCCTGTAATCCCAGCACTTTGAGAGGCTGAGGCAGGCGGAACTCCCAAACTAGCCAAATGAACTAGCCAGCATGGTCAACATGGTGAAACCCCATCTCTACTAAAAATACAAAAAATTAGCCAGACCTGTTGGTTCACACCTGTAGTCCCATCTACTCAGGAGGCTGAGGCAGGAGAATCCCTTGAACCTGGGTGGCGGAGGTTGCAGTGAGCTGAGATCGCACCACTGAACTCCAGCCTGGGAGACAGAGTAAGACTCTGTCTCAGTAATAATAATAATAATATTAATAATAAATAAAGCGGCCGGCCACAGTGGCTCACGCCTGTAATCCCAGCACTTTGGGAGGCCAAGGCTGGCAGATTACCCGAGGTCAGGAGTTCGAGACCAGCCTGGCCAACACTGCAAAACCCTGTCTCTATTAAAAATACAAAATTAGCCAGGCTTGATGGTGCATGCCTGTAATCCCAGCTACTTCGGGGGCTGAGGCAGGAGAATCGCTTGAACCCAGGAGGTGGAGGTTGCAGTGAGCTGAGATTGTGGCATTGCACTCCAGCCTAGGTGACAGAGCAAAAACTCCATCTTGGAAAATAATAAAATAAATAAAGTATATTGAAGGAGACACCAAGGACCCAGGGCTGTTGGCCTTATCTTTCTGGTCCATTTCCTCATCTATGAAATGACTAGTTAAGAATAGATCATCTCCCTGATTCCATTCCTGCTCTGTAATATTATTATTAGAGAAAAAAAAAAAGGTTAACTAAAAGTCTACCTTGTTCCTTTAGTCCAAATGGTAACTATAACAAAGAACCTTTTGAAAGAAGAGCTTTCTAAAATAGCCAAGTCCCTAATTTATTATTTCAGTAAATTTGGGTTTCCATACTTCCAAATTGTGAGCGGCCGTTAGTAGGTTAAAACGATGAATTTCCTCACCTGGCTCAGCATTCCTCAATGCATTGTGCTTTAAGTAAAGAACAGACAAGGCTGAAAAGAAAAGGCCATTTCATGGTATTTATTTAACTGCCAGAGATAGTCCAGGCCATGTGCCTTTCAATTCAAAAAAGAAATAATCAAACTGCCTCCCTTACCTAAATAGAGCACTTCTTTAATTTGTGATTACCTCCAGATCTGTCAGTAGACTTTCCTCCCCTGGCTGTCAATACATTTCTGAGCTCAGTGAGCACTTTTATGAGCTACAACTTTCCGTCAATCAAAAAGTTTTGCTCTTCTAGACTCTTGCTCAAATTGCAGTGTTCATTACAAAAAGGAGAAAAAGTCACTTTGGGGCTGCCCCAGAAAGCACTGTGGAAATGACCTGCCCCTTTTGAAATGAGATGCTGATCTCACTTAAGGTTAAAGCAATTGAGAGAAACTGAAAGCTCACTTGCAGGTCTGCTGAGTCTCATATCCAGATTTTCTGCTGTACCCCTTACAATAAAAATCCCCAGGCTGGGAGTGGTGGCTCATGCCTGTAATCCCAGCACTTTGGGAGGCCGAGGCAGGCGGATCATGAGGTCAGGAGATCAAGATCTTCCTGGCTAACACAGTGAAACCCCGTCTCTACTAAAAAAAACCAAAAAAAATTAGCTGGGCATGGTGGTGGGCGCCTGTAGTCCCAGCTACTTGGGAGGCTGAGGCAGGAGAATGGTGTGAACCCGGGAGGCGGAGCTTGCAGTGAGCCGAGATCGCACCACTTCACTCTAGCCTGGGTGACAAAGCAAGGCTCCATCTGGAAAAAAAAAAAAAAAAAAAAAAAATCCGCAACAAGCAGAATTCTAGCCAAAAGACCCACTTCCCACTTTTAAGCCACCTGCCTAGTTGCAGACAGATAGAAATGCTTTAAGCCTCCCTAGACTCTTCCCTGTTCTAGCAGTTGCTTGCATCCTATTTTTGAACTACTGGCAAATTAAAGTGGCATGAAAATCAATGTTTTACATTGAAGGGAAAAGGGCAGGATCACCAGATACCAATATATTCCTTCCTGGATTAGACAGTTCTTCAAAGTACACTTAATAAATTCCAACAGGCCCAGATGAGTTGCATACAGGCATTTGCTGGAACAAAGAGCAAAACCTTCTTGCTTGTTAAACATCGTTGGCCAATCAGGGACTTTCCACTTGTTATGGCAAGAAAGAATTCAAGAGAAAATGTAGTCAACAACTCTCAGTTTTGAATTTTATCCCAGAGCTTCAGACCATAAGGAGTCCCTCAGGCCAGGAGTCCAATTGCCCAGAAGTAAAAACAGACTCTCAGATCAATAGCTGGAACCCTTTCCAGGACACTGAGGTATTCACCTCCAAGGGCTCTAAAGCTCCACTTCAACAAACAGCATGAAGCTGTGTAAAAAGTTTCAGCTCTACAATCAGATGAATTGGTTTTTACCACTTCACGGGACACCAAGTTCTGTACAGTTAAGGTATGTTTGGGACAGAATATAGTTTATTAAGTGGTAAAAAGGTGACTTTAAACTGCTTTTCCAGCAGATGTCACAGTCCTACCAAGATACCAAGATCAAAGCTTCTTCACATTTAAGGAAATTATTTTTTTCTCCTCATTTTGCCAGCTGATATGTACTGCTTCTTATCCTTAACCACACTCAAAGGCAATGCTCTCAAGTCTAGCATGTTTCTAAGCTCAGACCAAATTCGAGTCTCACTAAAAAGATAAAGTATTGCTGCATATCTGCCTCTTTGCCAAGTTTCCAAATCCAAAAAGGATATTTTGGTAATGGAAAAGGCAGTGTTTACCTTCCATTTTAGTGGTGTGTGAGTTAAAATAATATTGGAAGTCACAAAGAACTACATAACCTAAAAACGAGAGAAATAGAACTCTTAAGAGAGATGACTTTTTTTTTCTTTTTTGACATGGCATTTCGCTCTCTTCGCCCAGGCTGGAGTGCAATGGCGCGATCTTGGCTCACTGCTACCTCTGCCTCCAGGGTTCAAGCGATTCTCCTGCCTCAGCCTCCCGAGTAGCTGGGATTACAGGTGCAAGCCACCGCATCCGGCCGAGAGATGACTCTTGACTAAACGGTTTGCAGTAACATAAAGGAGTTTCAGAGACTTAAGGCTGATGAAACTTGAACCAAGTTTAATATACTTCTTCTCCAGTTCAGCCATGCTACTTTTCTAGGTTAAAAGAAAGTTGCAGAACTTTTGTAAATGAACAGGCAAGCTGGTGGTGATAAGAGCTCTGATTCAGGTTAAAACAAACAATCAACCAACAAAATAACCACTGGACATTTCTAGAGCTGTTAAGAACTCTTTAAAAATTTATCTGGCCAGGCGCAGTGGCTCACGCCTGTTTTAATCCCAGCACTCTGGGAGGCTGAGGAAGGTGGATCACGAGATCAGGAGTTCAAGATCAGCCTGGCCAATATGGTGAAACCCTGTCTCCACTAAAAATACAAAAAATAAGCAGGGCATGGTGGTGGGTGCCTGTAGTCCCAGCTACTCGGGAGGCTGAGGCAGGAGAATCACTTGAACCCCAGGAGGCGGAGGTTGCAGTGAGCGATCACACCACTGCACTGCAGCCTGGGCGACAGTGTGAGATTCCGTCTCAAAAAAAAAATTATCCGTATAATAGAGAGGCCTGGTGCTTAGTATCATCAGCAGAACCACCGAACTTTATGTGCCTCCTGATGTGATGTCACAGAAACTGTACATTACCAGATTAGTGTTGTTGCCAAAAATGCTTACCTGAATAAAATTGTGAGGAAACAATTAGAAAATTCCACAATAAGGAACATTCTACAGGGCAATTACCCTGGATTCTTCTAAAAAGCCAAAGACATGAAAAGACAATTCTAGATTGAAAAATTAAGCAGCCAAATGCAATGTATAAATATTAAATGGAGCTGGGTCTGGTGGCTGAGGCCTGTAATCCCAGCACTTTGGGAGGCCAAGGCGGGCCACTTGAGCCCAGGAGTTCGAGACCAGTCTGGGCAATATGGTGAAACTCCGTCTCTACAAAAAAATACAAAAATTAGCCCCACGTGGTGGCAAGTGCCTGTAGTCCCAGCTGCCTGGGAGACTGAGGTGGGAGGATCACCTGAGCCAGGGAGGTGGAGGCTGCAGCAAGCCAAGATCAAGTCACTGCATTCCAGCCTGGGTGACAGGGTGATACCCTGTCTAAAATAAGTGAGAGGATTCTGGATGAAAAAACACATGGTTTTTGTATGTCTTTTATTACATGCCACATAAAGGACATCTGTGTGGCAGTAGGGAAAATTGGAATATGAACTATTTATTAGATGTTATTGCATTATTGAGAATTTTCTTAGGTGTATAATGGCATTAGTGGATATGTAGAGGAATGGCATCCTCAGATGTCTGCTAAAGTATTTGGAGATAAAGGTTGATAATAATAAACTTCTGTAGTGTTTGTACTTTCAAATGGTTAGTGAAAGTACATGTGTGTATATGTAAGTATATTTATATACAGACACATATATAAAGAGAGTAAGTATGGCAAAATGTCAAGTTTGGTAAATCTAGATGATGGGTATACTGGGGTTCATTACACTATTTTCTTCATGCTTCTGCAGATTTTTTTCTTTTCTAAAGTTAGGAGAAGAAAGTATTTTGGTTTTCATGACATGCATGTTATCTTCATTAGCTCTTCAACTTTTAAATTTCTATGCACTTCAGGTTTATGACTTGGAGAAGTAGAAAAGACAACAACCCTTAGTAGGTGAGCCTTATATTTTAATTCATGGAATTATAAATTAGTCGTGAGGCTACAAAGATCCAACATTTTCAAAACCTGATGATTTTGTATGTTAGAGTGACTCCAAATTGATGCGAGTCTGGAGTCAGGGAGTTGCCCAGTTCCAGTATAGTGCCATTGACGCTTAAGTAGCCTCACCAAACCATGCCATTATAGAGCAGTTTTTAAATAACTATCAAATTATACAGTGACAGCATCATTTTATTTCATACACAATCTCCTTCACCTGCAGGCCAACTGCTTTAGAATGTGCCCTTCCATCAGAACCCCTATTTTCTTATAGCATGTCGGCAAGTCTGTGTTTCTAATCAACTGTGAAATTTCACAAAGGTGGATACTCTGTTCTCATCTCAGAATGCAGCATAGCATTATGGCATGAAACAGTAACTCAATAAATACTAACTGAATAAAGAAATGGGTAAAATAAAGATTAAAGTGAGGATTTTTCAAGAAAAACTGTATCTTTTTAAAAATTGTATGCAATAATGTGGATTCTCTAAAATGACTAGTAGGAGAGAGAGGAGGGACCAACTCATAAGGAAGTTTTAAAATGTCATTGTTAGTCACATGGGCCTTTTTGAGAGGGTTGGGAGAAGTCTTTGGAATAGAAAATAAATAGAAAAGGAATGTTTTTGGAGTATAAATGATCATTACCTTGTTTCAGGAGCCACAGTTCAACCAGAGGCCAGAGGCCTGGTTGAGTTGTTTGTCTTAAACTTAATATATTTGTTATATAGTTCTGTTAATGAATCGAATTCTGTAAACCAATAATTACATTTTATGTCTTAATTGAGCACTTAAAAATTCAAGATACATGAATTATTTTTCTGAGCTATTTATCAAGCCTATTTAAACTTACAAATTTAAAAAATGAAGCAAACTCTTTCCCTGAGATAAGCTTTTTACTTCTTTTGCAAGGTAGCTATTTCAGTAATATTTGCGATGGCACTATAATGAAATCTATCAGGAATTAGAAGGATGAGTACTTTAACTAAAAAATAAGCATGTTTGAGAATTTCTGATAACACTAATGGGTTAGTGTTTCAAATGAAAATAATTAAGTCAACAAAAAGAAATTCTTGGATCAGTCTTGAGGACTCAGTAATACTGATAAAGAAGTATCACTTGAAAGGAGCTTTTTGTCTTTAAATGAAGATAAATTAAAAGGGTAACTAGGATTTGCTACCTGCAGTACTGATACCTACTAGCACAGAATCCAAGCTAGAGTATAAAAGAAAACTCCCTTTCTAAGTCATTGGGCAATTTTTAAGAACTCATTTTTTGGGGGGGAGCAAGAAAAGTAGTCAGACAAATCAGTCCAAGGTGAGGTATCTTTGGAAAATTTAATTTGGACCATATTTTCCTCCTCTTTCTGAAAACATCAAATATCCCCATACATTTTGGGTACCACAGCTTACAAAGGGGCAGTGGGTTTCCCACAGTTACATACTGTACCCAACTTTCTATAGAAAGATAAAACATTTTCCAACCTTGCTTTTGAGTATTTCCTAAAAAATGCTTTAAAGTTTCCTTACAATCAATGGCAAGTAAAACAAAGTAAGGCTTTTTTTTTTTTCTCCTTTTCCCCTTTTTATGTACTGCATGTTGGAGGAATAAGGAAGGAAGACTAGTTCCATCAGAATACTAGTAATCCTAGTACCCTGGGGATTACTGCTGGATCCTCCCAGGTATACCCCCCCTATTATTGAGGCCTTGATGCACCCCTGCACTGAGGAACCTGAGAAGGGTAAGTACTGAACAGTCTGTCATAGCCACGTGGGACTGTCACAGCACAGGTGGGACTGGGAGTCGCCCAGTTCTTCTTGGTGCTCACAGGAGTAACAAAGGAACTAGGACAAAAACCATAACTAGAGGTCTCCCATGTGGTACTGCAGTCTCACACGTTCACTTTTACAGGCCTTACAAATGTACATTTGTAGACTCAACGTATTTACTGGGAAAAAAAAAAAAGAAAAAAATGCCTTTACTAATTTCTGTATCAAATTATTAGAAAGAAAATAAAAGCATTTGTCTGATGAAACACACTTTCTATGTTAGATGAAAATAACTCCCTTGCAAGATAAACTTGGTAATGTGTATTTGTCACTATTATACATTTTTGCTTAGTACACACATTTCTTTAATAGCATCATCTGAACAGCTTTGTCAGTTTTCAAACCTGTAGTTTCATTAGCTTAAAAAAAGGATAAGGCAGCCAAATTTAATGAATTTTGGTTGCAGAAAAACATCTCGGGCATTAACTCTTATCTTCAAATGTTAAGAGCACATAATTAAAAGATAAAGTTTCTTCTCTTAACAGGAAACTAAGCAGCTATTGTCATCAAACGTACTTTTACATGTACTTTTTAGTAAAGGGCCCCCTCATAAATATAAAATTAAATTCTTTTGAGGAATAGGTTTGTGATTTTAGTTATGCAGGATTTACATTTATCCTTTACATTTTGTAGTAAAAAAAAATGTGTGGTCTTTGCTTATTTTCATGAAGTGATTTCTTCATCTCAGCAGGCTCTCACATACAAACGGCAGGCTAGGTTACTCAGCTTGTTTCTGAAAGGCGAGGCAGCCACATGTCATGTGCTCTTAGAATCCTTGCAAAAATTCCTGTAGCTGGGTGACGATCTCCGTGTCCACTGTTTCCATGAGGGACTGGAAACCTTGTTCTCCTAGCATCTCCTGCTGTGCCTTGAGCTTCTCGTAGATGAACTGCTGCAGTGACACCATATGAACAGGGTCCTTCAGGGCCAGCTGTGGGATACAGAGAGGAGCAAGACTGTGTCAAAAAAGCAAAACAAGTCTCTCCTACCTGCAATTTACAAGTTCTTTGTAATCTCTTCCACAGTAACAAAATTGCTTCTGCCTCTCTTCTTACACAGATTCTGTAATAGTCTCACAGTGGAAAAATCTGTCAAAGAAAATTTCATTCAATTAGTCTAACTTCAGTTCCCTAGGGCCCCCTGAACATGTTTTCTGATTAGCCATTTCTGAAGAGCTGGGGGACTCACTCATTTAAAGCATCAAAGCCTAGTAGAAAGCATTCTAAAAGAAACAGAACATGCTGAAGAACATTAAATACAATTGTCCAGCATTCTCCTTAGGAAGACAGGGTAGGCCACTGTCGCAACCCAGTGATGCCCTCAGGATCCAGAGAGGAGATAGGGTTTGCCCTACCCTGGATTGCAATACTATTTAAATTCCTGTATATGCTTCTGGCTGAAAAAAAAAAGGGACTCCTCGTCTCCCACTGGGAAATTTGGAAAACAAAAGAAGTATAATTTCATGAAAAATAACCCATAAGTCTACTCCCTAAAGATAACAATGACAAAGGAAAATATTTCGGCTTCTTCTATCCCTGTGGCATGCACATACATACATATACATAAAACACACCTGGACCCAGGCTAAGTGCAATGTGTGATATACCGGATTGAATCCTGGAACTAAGAGTGTTACCAGAAAAACTGGTAAAATCTAAATAAAAGTCTGGAGTTTAGTTAATAATAATGCACCGATGTTGGTTTCTTAGTTTCGATAAATGTACCATGTATATTTGAAAAATGCAGGGCTGGGCCCGGTGGCTCATGCCTGTAATCCCAGCACTTTAGGAGGCTGAGGTGGGCAGATCATAAGGTCAGGAGTTTGAGAACAGCCTGCCAATATAGTGAAACCCCGTCTCTACCAAAAATACAAAAATTAGCCTGGCGTGGTGGTGCATGCCTGTAGTCCCAGCTACCTGGGAGGCTGAAGCAGAAGAATCGCCTAAATCCGGGATGTGGAGGTTGCAGTGAGCTGAGATCGCGCCATTGCACTCCAGCCTGGGCGACAGAGCGACAGAGCAAGATTCCGTCTCAAAAAAAAAAAAAAAAAGAAGAAGAAAAATATAACATACAATGTTAACATTAGGAGACAGTGGGTGAGAGGCACATGAGAACCCTTTGTACCATTTTTGTTACTTTTCTGTAAACCTAAAATTATTCCAAATTAAGAAGATTATTCTAAAAATGGACTCAGCAATTAGAAAAGCATACACCTCTGTGGCCATTTGGTATAAGGACAAACCGCTCTACAACTGACATCTCATCTTATGTCTTAGCTTATACAAGTGTCTAATCATACAATTTCTAAACAGCTAGGCCTGTGTTCAATTTTGAGATAAAAGCTGATGTCTCCAAGCTCTGAATGACATTCAAGGTTAGTTATTCTCAAGTTAATGACTTCATCAGAACTAGAATACAGATTGGAAAATTCCTGGTTTTGTTCTCTTTCCATTACTTCCACATGCTCTTGCCTTCTAAGAAAGTATGTGATCATTCAAGAAATATTTCCATTGAAATGGGTAAGATAAAATTAGGAATCTTCAGAGGCTTCAGTTATTAGCAAGAGATAATTACCCAGAATTCCTGACTCTGGGGTAACACCAGATAAATGAAGTGTTAATAGCCAGATTCACTTCAAAAGTCCACACATCGGATTTTAATGAGCAAGTGGCTCAGTATTGCTTAATTTTAAAATTATTACTCTAAGACAGAATGGTTCTAGTTGAAGTGCGTATCAGTTCCCTCTGTTGGTAATGATAGCCTTTTGACATATGCTTCAACCCATGAAGTAGTATTCTAAAGTGGTTCAAGATTTTAGTTTCTGTGGGGCTACTTACAAATTTCTTGTTCTTTGAGATTTCTATCCCTTGAAACAAAGTTTTCCATTATATTTCACTACATTAATAAGATATTTCACCCAGCAAGAATTTAGTGAAGCAAAATCTTTCATTTTCCTTATGTGGCATGTCATTATTCACTTTTTAAGCCTATATGTCCAATTATAATTTTTCAAAAACTACTTACCGTAAAGTTATTTTGTCAGAGGCCTTTGAACCAGTGCAACTCCATCTTTTTTTTTTTTTTTTTTTGAGATGGAGTCTCTCTCTCTCTCTGTTGCCCAGGCTGGAGTGCAGTGGCACAATCTCGGCTCACCTCAAGCTCTGCCTCCCGGGTTCACGCCATTCTCCTGCCTCAGGAGTAGCTGGGACTACAGGTGCCCACCACCATAGATGACTAATTTGTTTTTATTTTTATTAGAGATGGGGTTTCACCGTGTTAGCCAGGATGGTCTAGATCTCCTGACCTCATGATCCGCCTGCCTTGGCCTCCCAAAGTGCTGGGATTACAGGCGTGGGCCACAGCGCCTGGCCTGCAACTCCATCTTGAATAGGGGCTGGAGAAAATAAGGTGGAGACCTACTGGACTGCATTCCCAGGGTGTTAGACATTCTAAGCCACAGGATGAGATAGGAGTTCAGCACAAGATATGAGACATAAAGACCTAGCTGATAAGACAGGTTGTGGTAAAGAAGCTGACTAAAACTTCCCAAAACCAAGATGGCCACAAAAGTGACCTGTGGTCATCTTCACTCCTCATTACATGCTAATTATAATGCATTAGCATGCTAAAAGACAATCCCACCAGCACCATGACGATTTACAAATGCCATGGCAATGTCCAGAAGTTACCCTATATAGTCTAAAAAGGGGAGGTACTGGCTGGGTACCATGGCTCACGCCTGTAATCCCAGCACTTTGGGAGGCTGAAGAGGGCAGATCAACTGAGGTCAGGAGTTCAAGACCAGCCTGACCAACACGGAGAAACCCCATCTCTACTAAAAATACAAAAATAGCTGGGTGTGGTGGAGCATGCCTGTAATCCCAGCTACTTGGGAGACTGAAGCAGGAGAATCGCTTGAACCCAGGAGGCGGAGGTTGCGGTGAGCCTAGATCATGTCATTGCACTCCAGCCTGGGTAACATGAGCAAAACTCCGTTTTTTCAAAACAAAAAAAAAAAAGGGGAGAGGGAGAGGGGGAGGAACCCACAGTTCCAAGAATTGACTACCCCTTCCCCAAAAATCTCATGAACAATCCATCCTTTGTTTAGCATATAATCAAGAAATACCCATAAAAGGCCAGGCATGGTGGCTCACGCCTGTAATCCCTGCACTTTGGGAGGCCAAGGCAGGTGGATCACCTGAGGTTAGGAGTTTGAGACCGGCCTGGCCCACATGATACAATGAAACCCTGTCTCTACCAAAAAAATACAAAAAATTAGGGGGCCATAGGTGGCGCATGCCTGTAATCCCAGCTACTTGGGAGGTGGAGGCTGCAGTGAGCCGAGATTGTGCCACTGTACTCTAGCCTGGGCAACAACAGCAAAACTCCGTCTAAAAAAAAGAAAAAAGAAAAAAGAAAGAGAGAGAGAAAGAAAGAGAGAAAGAGAGAAAAGAGAGAAAGAGAGAAAGAGAGAAAGAGAGGAAGGAAGGAAGGAAGGGAGGGAGGGAGGAAGGAAGGAAGGAAGGAAGGGAAAGCAAGCAAGCAAGCAGCCTTTGGGGCTGCTCTGCCTACGGAGTAGCCATTCTTTATTCCTTTACTTTCTTAATAAGCTTGCTTTCATTTCACTTCACTCTGTGGACTCAACCTGAATTCTTTCTTGTGTGAGATCCAAGAGCCCTCTCATGGGATCTGGATCAGGACCCCTTTCTGGTAACAATTTCCTACTGAATTTTGCTAAAGTGTTTTCCATCCTAGGAAAATACTAAATAATTGCTAACTTGAATTTAATTTTTCTCACTTAGAAACAGAACATTTTTTAATAATAATAATATATTCAGGCTTCCTTTCCATGAAACTTGGTAGATGACACACAAATACACTAGGTATATAACAGAACAAAAAAATCTTAAAGGAAAATTTATCTACAACAATGTATTTAACCATGTGGTCTTCAAAAATTCCTTAGTTTTATTAAAATATCTTTGGTTTCAAAATTCCCTTCTTTTCTGACTTCTAATTGTTTTGCTGCAGGTAACTGTCAATTTCTGAAATATATCTAAAATAACTAAGTTTCTAAGATCTGTTGGATGTAAACTCTCCTAACTTTGTGGCTTAATGAAGAGTATGAGTCCGGCAGATACCAACCAGAACAAACTTAATCAATAGGGCGCAGCAATACAAACTCAATCATCAAATTATACCCACTGTGAAATCCAATCTGTCCTTTGAGAAGCTTGGAATACAATTTCTAAATGATCAGCTTGTAAGTAAAGGAACATTTTACATTGCTATGTCTAGAAACACTGGGACCTAGACTTCATGAGATAAAAATGGCAGTACATACATACATATATACATACATGTCTCAGTAAACAAATTAAAATTCTAATTTAGCAATTACCTTATAATCTAGGTTTCCTGACATAATTATTTTTCTTTCTATTAGTCCTTGACCACTATTACTTGGGCATTCTTACTCTAGTATGCCTTTATTGCAATGTGCTTTAAATCTCTGAGAGTAAACTTGAGAGCAATGCACAACTTAAGGAATCAGACAAAGTAATTATTTCAAGCCTAGATCTGAGCAACAGAACATCTGCTTATTTCTTCATGTTTCGGTATGCAATGATCTTCAGAGCAATTAAATGGGAATCAAAATACAACATCCACATTTACTAAACTCCAATCACAAGCAAGGCTTCTGCTAGGTACAGGGCAGGCCATTCACATATATAATTTCATTTAAAATTAATAATAAGAATAAAGGAGGAAAGGGAAGCCTCAGCAATGTCACAACAAATCTTTATACAATAGTTCTTCACTTGGCAGCATAAGGGAATCATTCGGGGAACTTTAAAAAATGCTGATGTCTAAGTCCTACCCCTAGTGATTCTGATTTTAAGTAGTTTCAGGTTCTAGAATATTTAAAAG